CTTTAAATAACTAAAAATTTAGCTAAAAAGGCTCACCTTTATATCAATTAACTATTTAATAATATTAAAGGGCGTCTCAAATCATTCTGTGCCTTACCTCAGCTACAACCGATTGTAATAGAATTTTTTCCAATTGAGAACAATGTGAAATAGCTTGGATTTTGGGTTGCGTAATCATCGCGCTTAGGGCTGCTGTAACGTGTCTCATACCGACTAAAGTCTCCGGCCCTTCTTGTTGAGCAATTTCAACTGCCCTTCTACATATATCTAATGCTCTTCTGGCATCACCTGACACAGAAGCTACTTTTCTACAGAAAATTTACAATAAACAGTTAATTTAATTTTTTTTAACAGATAAGAAGATTTACCTGGCAACCAATTGTACAGCATCTGGGTTAAAAATATTTGTACCTAAAAGTCTTTTAGTTATAATTTCTTGCAATTGCTTGAAATTGTAGGGTTGAAAAGTTAGTCTTGTTAAACCTAATCTGCTTGTTACTCTGCTCATAAGAAGCCTAAACAAGAGAAAGTGGAGTTATAAGTAAATATTTTTTCTTTCACAAAAACTGATAATTTCACCTTTCAGGTAAATCCATTGTATTGGCAATTGTAATTACAATTAGTTGAGCATGAGACTTAGTTGGCCAATCCAACAAATTATATACTACATCTTGTCTTTTGGTACATAAAATATCCAACTAAAAAATATTTTGAGAATGATAATTGCTAATAGAAGATATATATTTCCTATTTACTTCATCAACTACTAATATAGTAGGATTCATTTTCTTCGAGCTTCTTGAAAATTTATTTTCTAGTGTAGTTTGTGCTTGTTCCCATCTCATACTTTTCCCATCAAGTTGTTTCAGTATCTAAAATATAAACATCTATATTCCAAAGCAGTAATTATGAAAAGGAGATTGTGTACAGTAAAATAACAAAGAGGAATTTTGTTTATCAAGTATAAGATCTTACTTCTACATATGCCTGTCTTGGTTCACTAAGTTTCATTCCATTGATGCTCACATATGAAAAAGTAGGAGAACTTCCTTTTGATGAAGACTGTTGTAAATGTTTAATAACTTCAGTAACTGTTGCTGTTTTACCAGTACCAGGAACTCCAGATATATACATACAGCTAAAACATAATGAAGAGTAAAAGTTATAACTAAAAGGCCCCCAAACTTCAATAACCCTGCCTTTATATATATATTTATTGTATTTACCCTCCAATTTCATCAACAAGTTTTCCCTGAAGAAAATTAAAAATATTGGAGTATTCTTTCTCTCTGCATGGCAAACTATCAGGTACATAGGAGACATGTAATTGACTGCAAGCTGTAGATAACGAATCCCGTCCTTTTATAACTGTCTTTGTTCTATTATGCATTGAAGGTGTTAGAATACCTTTTCTAGAAATGTTTTTTGATGTGTTACGTTTAGGGGTGATCTTTGGTGGTAGGTTTTCATCATCTGACAAATGTGTATATGTTACAGCTTTTTTAGGAGTTGAATTATATGAGCCCTTTTTTAAAATAGACCTTCTAGTATTTCCTATTGTTATTTTCTCTAGTGCTACTGAAAGCTTCGTTCTGGGCGAATTATTGCGATTTGCTTTAATACAAAGCTTCTCAGGAGTACAATATGCAGTGAAATCTTTTGACAGTGTCTTTTTCATTTTAGCATTAGGTGAAAATGTTTTGACTGGTTTATATAAATCTTTAGTTGGTGTTATTTCTGAAATGTTTTGTGTATTATATTTCAAGTTTATAAATAGTGGTAATGATGTAAACATACCCACTTTCAACTTCTTTTCCTGGCCACAGTACCCGTTTGTGTGCTCCCTTTCAGAGGAAGAATCTGATGATGTCTTTAGTCGTCTATTGTGATATTTAATTTCTTTTTTGGCTGTAAAATGTGATGTTCGAGATGTTCTCGAAGGGGAATTTTCATTTTCAGAATCGTCAGATAAAAAGTTTGAAGGAACTTTAACAGAAGAAGACACCTTAACGACTAATGAACTTTTTCGACTTCTAGTTACGATGGGAGACACTTTAAACTGCGGTGAATTTACGCAGTTATCACTTGAACTTAAATCACTCATTTTCAATTTAAAAAGAGCCGTTTGATTTTGGAATGTAAATACCGAAAATTGTGCGGGAAATCATTTGAAGGAATGTCAAAAAAGTTGGGTTAATTAATAGATATGATATAATATTATATCTAATCATCATTATATATGAATTTCCTTTTTTTTTAATAGAACTATTGGACGCATAATTATGATATATACATATTTAGAATCTGCAAACAACGCACAATTTATTAGTAAAGTTTAAATCAGAGGATTATTTATATCGGATGCCAGATTCATACGATAGTTTTATTGTCTATTTATTTATTTATTTCTTTAATCTATGGTGTGAGGTGCGATGTTTATGTGACTGTCATTTACTGTGCTTAGTTTATATATCTTGTTTTGTAAATTTTATCGTTTTTCATGTTTAAGTTTGAGGATTTAAACTATTTAAAATGTTATTTTAAAACAGTTTTTCAATCTTTAACATAAAATGGACCCAGAAAGTGAGAGTACAACAACTTCTGTTGATGACAATACTGAAAACTTTTGTGACAATCCTACTAGAGATGCTCTTACAGAAGGTTTAATGGGTTTAATTAAACCTACCGTTGATCAATTAGATGAAAGAGTTCGTGCCACGAGGTATATTTGTACTTAATTGCATATTAAGATATACTTATTAATTTTATCTTAGGTTGTCACAACTAGAGTTAAAAACATGCATAGAGTCGCTTAGCGAAGAACTTAAAACGATTGCATCTTCCCAACAATCAATCGTTGATTTAGATCCATATGTAAAGAAACTAATGAATGCTAAGCATAAGGTAACAGTTCTGACCAATGTTTTGCAAAGTGCCCAAGATAGACTTAATAGAATTCATCAGTCGATTGAAAAAGAAACAGTCAAAAGGAAAGTAATTTTAGAATCTACTAGTGACGGTCAGTCATCTGCAGTATAAGAATATTGTGAATAAAAATGGACTTAAAAACACCATTATTTGATTTATCAAAATTTAAAAATGTATATGAGCCAAGTGAAGACACTTTTTTATTTTTGGATACATTAGAACAAGAATTACAGTTAATTTTGAGTATTAAACCTGACTTTGTTGTTGAAGTTGGATCAGGAAGTGGGGTTGTTATTACAGCTCTTGCAAATGCTTGCAAAAATATTTCGTTTTGCTTAGCCACAGATATTAATTCAGAAGCTAACAGTGCAACAGCTTTTACTGCTAAACTGAATAATGTTACTATAGAAAGTATTAACATGAAATATTTGTCTAATTTTAAACCAAATATTTTTGATGTGGTTCTTTTTAACCCTCCTTATGTTGTTACCGAATCCAATGAAATAAAAGGAACTGGTTTGAATAGGTCTTGGGCAGGAGGCAAGAATGGTAGGGAAGTCATAGATGAATTTTTAAAGTTATTGCCAAATATTTTAAGTTACAAGGGTGTTTGCTATATGGTTGTCATTAAGGAGAATAAATTGGAAGATATTCATAATGTTGTTGTTGATTTGGGTCTTTCTTGTTATATTGTTAAAGAGAGAAAGGTACCAGGTGAACATTTGTTTGTTTTAAAAATGTATAGAAAGTAATTCTTTAATTTCACTTATTTTAATTGTTAATGGTCTTGTATCAATTAAATTTAGCAATACTGAGTAATCATTTTTATTGTAAACTAATTTGTACATTATGCTTCAGTTACAATGATTATTAAGTTACATTCTTAAATTATTAATTGTATTATATATCATATTTACTTGTTTGCATTTATTGAATATTATTTTTACGTTTTCTTAAGGGTTGCAATAAATTAATTTGTATGAAATGTTTATTAAATTGAAACAGATACATTAAGTAATAAAATTTACAAATATACATTTTACAGATATCCATTAACTTGTTTTTGTCTGAAAATAATTATATTTTCTAATATTATATACTTAATTAAACAGTTCATTACTGCATGTTACTAGCTATTTTGCTTGCATATTTTTTTAACTACTTTATTCTATTTCGTTGAATTTGTTTTTATAATTACTAATTGATTACAAATAGTAAATTCTATAACGTTAAAAATATTTAGAATTTTATTGTTAAAGAGTACCAATACAGTTTGTATTTTTAACATGTTTTCGAGTTCTTGTGAGGAAATTGCAAAAAAATTCTACACAGCCTACCATGTATTGTGACCATCTTTTTCGAAAAATAGTTTTAGTGGATGGTAACTACTATCACTTCAATTTGGGGTAAAACGAAACATACTCTTCTTTAAATTATTAACAAGTCGTATATTACACTTAATATTCATTATTTTTTTAAGTAAATTAATATTTGAACGTGCAAAAAATATTTACCTATTTTGAGAAAAAAATTTATTTAATATCATAAATTACAGTTTTATTAATAGAAAGGGTCGGAAAATATTATGGCACTAGATCACATAGTTTTTAAAACAATAGAGAATTAGAGCCGATTAGAGTACGAAAATGGCTCCCATAACAGTAAATTTTTCGTAAGTAAAAAATTTTGTATTTTTTTAATTGTTCCTTGTACTTATTTCAATAATTTTCTCATTATCGACATACTTATTATTTTTGTTTTTTTAGATTTTACGTTTTTATGCATCAAAGAAAAACACTTCAGGATGTATTTGGTACTTTCACTCGTTAAATATGAAATACATATATAATGGGAAAATACAAAAGAAATGATGAAAATAGTCAAGTTTGACCGGAAAAATAGTTATGTGTAACTGTTGAAGTGATCTTAAATGTTATGAATTTCATATTATTAGAATAAGCATAAAGAACATTAAAAAAGCCAATAACATTTTTAAAAAACTGAAATCCACTGGTATGAACCATTTTGATACCCTTATCTACCCTAGTCCTTTTTACTTTACTATCGATAACTGAAATAACTGATAAATATAAATAAAATAGCCTCTAAAATGATAAAGAAATAATATTTTCAATGTTATTTCTGATACCATTACAATTATTATGGTATTGAAAACATAAACGAAAAGGAAATCAAGACAAAAATAAATTTGATGTTTTTTTGCTTCGGTTAATACAGAAACAAATTAGTAATTTTTAAAACTTTTCAAGGCGACTGGAAGACGAAAAAGTTGTTTTTGAAAGAACGACTTCTAAAAATTTTAAAATTTTCGTTTATTGGACGAAAAATACAAATCTAAAGCTATTCTGAATTGTACATAGGTAAATATTGTATATATGAAGAGATGTTAATTTTTCTTATATAACGGGCATAATTTTGTTTTATGTTAAAATATCAACGCCTATGTAAGAAAATAAAATAACTAAATTGAACCTTTTCTTAAGCATATTTTGAAGATAAATACACTTATATACAAAAAAATGTTTTAGATAGAAAGGAACCGCCAATATACAACAATAATTATTATTAATTATTTTTGTATTGTATATGCATACCACCTAATTTTGTTAACTGGTTAAAAAGATATTCTATTATTCATAATAATGATGGAAGAAAGCAATTAATGATAAATGAATAACAATACTTTTTTGAATGCACGTAAACTTCCACTTACGCTCCGCAACCATATCACAGTGAATTGTTAATGACAAATTAATAGTTAGGTGGAAAATTTACAGGTAACTGACCTTACAAAATCGTTACAACCTATCTGTAATTTTTATACTTTCGACGATTTTAGACGTTCTTTTAATGGAGAATTGTATTTCCACCGTTCTTCCGTTTCCTTATGGAACAGCTGAAAAAAGAACACATTTTCTGATTAGACACAGATTCTATATACTTGATGACAATTTGGAAGTTGTAATTTGTGTAGGTCATAGGTACGTGGACAGTAAACCCAATTAAAGATTAACACATTTACGTTCATTAGAAGAAAAGAATACCAGTGCATTTTGTAATTAGAATCCAGTGGTATTACAAAATTTGATTTCTAGATTTAGAAAACTTGAATAAAATGCATATCTGTAATTACTTTTGTTTGCCATTCTGCGTTAGTCTGAGTCCTTTCTTTTGCCTGTGCCCGTTGTCTATTTTCTATTTCTTCTTTGGCATGGGAAGCTTTATCAATTTCGTTGTACTTTAATCCCCGTGTTACCTCTTTCCATAATTTTCTTGATTCGTTTTCTTCTTGCTCCGCAATAGGTCTTACCCTTTTCTTTATTGTTGATAATTTATTGACGTCTATAAATACCTCAGTTTTATCCTAAAATAAATGTTATATATATTTATTTCCACTTGAAATGAAAATAAATAAAATTAAAACCATGTTAGGGAGGTGAAATAGGATTGGAGCTAATATAAAAACTGGAGTTGACCAACTAGAAGAAGTGATCGATTTTCGATATATAGGAACTCAGATTGAAAAAATCGTACATTTAAAACAAAGAATAGCGTCAATCTGAGTTGTTTTTAACAAAAAAAAATATTTTCGTACTTGCGAACAGTTAATTTATAAGTTCGAAAAAGATTAAAAGTTTATGGTTGGAATGCAGCTGCAAAAGATGGACAGTGAGTGACGTAGAATAGAAAAAGTTAGAGGCACAGGGAATTGTGAACATTGACCTAAGGGTAGGAAGGATGATGGTGATGATGTATTTGGTTGAATTTTTTAGATTGTTAATTTACCTTATCTACCCACTTGGCTTCCATAAGTCCATTCCATTCACCAGATATCGTCAAGAATACTTTACAATCAGGCCCAGCTACTTCAGCGTTGACTTTGTGTTTCTTGTTACCATAAAAAGGTTTGGTTAAAAAATCAATATTGCATTGATATCCGGTCTTGGGGCACTTTATTGTTACATTACCCCCGAGTTCTATCCACGGTACTGTTAAAATCGATCTACCATACCCATTTGGAAATGTGACTGTATATTCTTCGTCGTATTCCAAAAGCGATATTACCCCTTCACCAATATTATATACGCACACGGAAAGCCCAAGAAATTTCGATTTGGTATAAATATGGGCATTGAAACTAATTTTTTTCTGGTAATGTTCAGCATAGAAGGCTGAAACTAAAAATAATATGTAAAAAATATGCCAAGACATTGATGGGGTTGCGTAACACTTATATTTACTTGGAGGGTGATGGGATACTTGTTCGGCAACGAATGTTAATTCGTTTTGATTAGCCCATGGTATGGGTCCATCTGGAACACGGTTACAGCTATCCTCAGATATGGATGGCAGATCCCAGTAACATCGAAAGACTTCACCCAAAATGGGATTGTATGGTTTCTTGGCCACGGAACTCTTCCTGCCGGCATGGTATGATGACAAATACCATTTTACCACCTGAATCATTCTATCTTTAGGATCTCTAAGATCTGCTATCCTAAAAATACCGACAATGCGAACGCTGCTGTTGTCAAACAAGTTTTCGCTACCTACAGTTAACTTATATATTTATATAACAAAGTTGAATAAAGTGTTTCAATTCTGGTGGTCATTAGTAACTGAGAAAGAAAATTAACCCAATAAAAAAAGAAAAGATGTGATATTCTCTATTTAAATACAAATTAAGAAAGCTTAAGAACTTATGCTAAAGGGGTGGTTATAGGAATTATGACACCTAAAAAATTTACGAGTTAAATTAGATAATACGAAATTTGAAATATAGCTATTTCTGATCAAGTAACTATCTGCTAATAAATTTTTAAGGACAAAATAAAAGCAGCACCTATTTGTAATTAAATGATAGAAAATAACTCTCTACTGCAATGATTTTATTCCATCTGAATTTTATCAATTAATTTCTTCAAAATTATACCGCAATGTGAATTTTCCGTATTCATCCTTTTTGATAGAGATTAATGGACTACTGAATTTAATCTGACTATGTAATGATAGTTTGTATTTTCTGTGGACGATGCTTTCAGAAAAATCAGTTTGCTTGTATACGCGTCACGAAAAGGAGACACCGATGAGGCAGTTGGAAATTGAAATAAATTTTATTCTATTTAAAGAAGCAAGGGTACTTGTAGTTGGGCAAAGCAAGCAAATTTAAATTTAAAGTAGAGTGGAAATAATAATTCCACCTTCTTACCTAACAAATAAATCAGGGTGCGCGAAATAATCGGCGTACATTTCTAAAAGTGACCGTCGTTCTAGAATGAACGTCGGCAGAACAACCTTTGTCAAATCCATTCCAATTTTGACTTGCGATAGTAAATGTTTTATGACAGAACCATGGGACTCAATTTCGACATCATCTTCTTCTTCGTCTTCGTATAAAGCTGCAGGGGGTCCAAGAATATTCTTCATAATGTTTATAAATTGTATTCAAATCATTTTATTATTACCGTCATAATCTATCGATCCTGAGTTCCCATTGGGAGAACCAGAACACTCCTGATTATCGACGGAATTATTATGTAGTTGCCTCGTTGATATTCTGATTCTGGTTGCGGTATTTCCCCCAGGAGCAGCTGCTGCTGTCGTTGTGGTCGTACTGAAATCGGACGTAGTATCGCCAAGCGGATGAATTCCACTGAAAAAAACTTGTAATTATTAGAGTTTCTTTTCCTAACTTAGAAGATATGTAGGGAAATCAAAGCTTGACAAGTGTTAAAAAGTTTTTATTGAATTTCATTAATCACCCAATGTTTCGGCTCTTGTTGTGAGCTCTATCTACGGTACGGTTTTTGTTTAATGTATTTTACTTCAAATTGTTCGATGAGTGTAACTGGTACAACATATGTATTGTGATATAAGAACAATAATTACAACAACGCAAATATAAATAGAATTAAAAAAGGAACACTATTATAAAGACAAAATAACAGAAAAATGTTATTAGCAATAAAAAAGACGTATTGAAAATTCTTCCTAACTGCGAAGTACCTACTAATATCGTACATACCAAACCATTTGAAAAAAATACATCGAANTTATTAGCAATAAAAACGACGTATTGAAAATTCTTCTTAACTGCGAAGTACCTACTAATATCGTACATACCAAACCAATTGAAAAAATACATCGAACTAAAAAGTCTACATTGAAAAAAAACTCACAAGACGAAACGTTAGTGATGGTTTTATAGTTTAATAAAAAAAACCTTACAACCCTTATCAGTTTTTGATTTCTATATATTCTTGTAATAAAATAATAATCGATACATTGAATGTAACCTTCTAAAAAAAAATGACTAGCTAAACTAGTATTTTTTTGATACATACAAAAAAGCCGAACTGAATAGGTTCTTTGCCCTTTCCCATTTCTTCGACATGTTAATTTATTAATAATTAAGTGTCAAAGTTCGTATATATGCCTATTGATAGCGTTAGTAAATCTTATGCGTTTACATCTAAAGAATATGGTAACAAAACATATAGAGACAAAAACGTTAAAATTTAACGTACGTATGGCGTAGTCCCACTAAAGTTGCAAGAAATCGCAGTAATTTCATTCGGCCACCCTTGAAGGTGACACTTTGTCAAAACGACATATTAATTATGTTACAGTTGCACAGTAAACTATTAAAATATTATATTGAGAGTTACATTCGTTTATAAGTGTGAGTGACGTAGAATAGAAAAAGTTAGAGGCACAGGGAATTGTGAACATTGACCTAAGGGTAGGAAGGATGATGGTGATGATGTATTTGGTTGAATTTTTTAGATTGTTAATTTACNCTAATAAAAGTAATCAAAACTAAGGAGTGTGTATGTTAAGCTACATCGCTCTCTGTATAAATGTTATCATTATCATACTTCTTTCTTGTTTTTGCAGGCAAACGATGGATAGCTGACATCACATAAAACGCAAAAAAGTATACACGATTGATACGACCATTCCCCGTCCTTTTTATACTGACTATTCGTTGTTATTAAAACGAGTAAAAGATAAACAGGAGTAATTGTGTTTATTGCAGTTCTGTTTTACGTGCACAAAGGATATTATGGGAATAAACGTGATGCTAAATTATAAGTAAGGTAATCTTTTCTTTATTCCTGTTTACAACAATTTTCTGATTTACATATAAAACGTAAACTGTTCGGTAGGCAAGACAAAAAAAATTACCCGTGTAATGGGCATAATAATGCAAGTATTTATTTTTTCTTGGTAATTTGAAACGTGTCTGACGAATTCTTTTGTTTCCTTTTTATTGCTGATACCGGCAGTTCTAGATTATCGATTTTTATTATGAACAAACAGACCAATAACAGAAAAAATAATTGTTGCACGGTTTCTGGAAAAACTGGGGTGGGTATCTACTGAAATATGTACAATAAAAAATTATTTTGTGAAAAAAGAAGTCGTTCCGGTTTGCACGAAAAACATAATTGAGCGTAGAAAAATACAGTTAGTCTTCCTACAATTTTTTGGTTTCTTCACCAAAAATGTAAAAAGAAACCTTTACTGCGAGATTTCGACCTCCATCTGACTATCTGACATTTCTAGGTCGAAAAATCCAAAATAATAATTTATAAGGACTGATTAAGTTCATAGTCAGTAATTTATCGAATCTACCAGACGTAGATCGCGATTTCGATCTTATTTGATCTTATCAGCATGCCACAGGCAGTCTTGAACCGACGATTTTCCATAAAATAATTCACGAAGATAAGTTGTTTTTTGTAGAAACAAACAGAAACAAGAAACGCAATTCTTCCACATTTATACAACATTTCCAAAATAAAATAACACCGTTACGGAAAAAGAGTTAGGCTTTCACACCCGGCGTAATACCCACTCCAAAGATTCATTTTGTCGTATACGGTATACGTGATAGGCATGTAAACCAAATTAATAAAATTCATGCTCTATAAACCTTTTGCTTTTTGCGATACTCCTAATGCAGATTTTCCATCTTATATTAGATTTGATCTATATCCTATGATTACACCTCGATTAGCCAGTTGCGTTAATTGTTAATTACTAAATAATCACTAATATCGATTGTGATCTATATTCGAGCAATTTACATTACGAAACATAAGAAAGAAGTATTGCATCCGCTGGGAATCGAACTTGACCCGTTCGCATGGCTGGCGAATATTAATTATAAATCGATTATTTCTCATATATTCCATATTACGAATTTCTTTATTTCTTTTAGTGACAGCTGGTTTACTTTTCGGCATCGTCAGACTAGATTTATATTTATTTTGCGGTGTATTGTAGTAGTGAGAATATGACATGAATAAATATAAATCTAGTCTGACGATGCC